GCGCACGGGTAGAAAAGAGCACAAAGTAATTGAAATTTGAAATCTACAGGAAAAAGAGTGAATAAGCTTGGGAAGTGTGTGCCTTAATATAAAAGCAGGTATGAATGTATCAATAAATGTTAATTTGAACATATCTGAGAATATCAAGATTTTTAGAAATGGTATTATGAAACTAATGTTAGGATAGGGGGACCCCTGAGGTATCAGGATGGAAGGAAACTTCTAATTTAATTTCCACTTCTCTGAATTCTGGAAATGTATTTGCTATTTTTGCCCCATTTTACCCTAAACATGTCCCTGAAATCTAATGTAACCTCATTAATGCCTAAATTTTCCAGATCTTGTTTTTCTTCCTGTTATTCTAGTTTTTGCCTTGGTTCCGTATACAGAAAGAAATGCCAAAAAGGGATTATTTTACATAATCATCTCCTCTTCCTGTCTTTCCTATTTTTCTACGACCATTCAGCCTAAAAGACAGAACATATGATTACTCAGTGAAAGCCCTGCAGCCATGAACTCTCTCTGTTTTGTAGCCTTCAAAGTATTATTTGTATAAAGACAATAAAAAAGTCTTGTTCCTTTATAAGGATGACTGCAAGGAGTTTGATCTCTGAGAAGAACAGCAAAGATTTTCTTTCTGCAGCTCTTGAAAATGACTCAGTAAGAGATTTTGATCTCTACATTGAAAATTTGATATCCTGTGGATCTCCTCTTCACCTCACCTATTGAGTTGCCCGTTATATTACATCTTTCAAGCTTAGTACGTGATTGATTAAAAAGCTTCATTTTCTGCTTGCTTTTCTACATGATCATTCTGGTCTTAAATGTTTCATGCTCATTATCAGCCAGACTCACTGCTGTAGGAGAGTTCACTTAAACTGTGTCTGTGTGTTCGTTTAGGTACTAATTGTTGGAATATGTAAAAAAACCTCTTAATATGAACTACAAACCTTTCTGTCCTGATGTAGAGAGGTTTTTAAGGATATCTCAAATATGTGTGGCTCCCCTAAAGACAAAAAGGTTCCCAACACACGAAAAGAAGTTAGCAGCTACTTTATTGAACAAATGCATACCTGTACTTTTCCTACATGTCTCTGGGTATGGTTCTTCTCTCTGAAACTGTTTGCTCACCTGTCTGCTGGGGTCCTGAGACCCAGGAGCAGTAACCCTGGTGTTTTTCCTTACACCCAGGTCAAGGCTTGGAGATTTTGGACGACTTCCTTGCCCTCTTTCTTTGCTGCAGGCTCTTTGGTGGAGAAACCTGTTCTTGTCTCTGCTACATTTCAATTTGAATGGGATTTCACCATTTGAATACAGAATTGCCCTCAAGCCACATTGCTCAGCCTTATTTGCTGCTGCAAATCACAATGCTTGTGCTCCAATGTTACTACTACTTTTTTTTTTCACTTTATTCCCTGAAAGAATAGCTTTAGACTGATCTGGATTTTCAGGTAGAAGTGCTTACTTCTGACAATATCCAGCCCTTTCTGACCAAGAGAGCATGGGAGCAGCAACTGTGAATCAGAAAGCCAGGGGAGCGCTCTGCTAATGGAAGGCAGATTGGCTTTTTGCAGGCAGGGGCAGAGGACGGTGGAAATTGGCTGCTCCAAATGGAGTATTAACTGTCATCCCTACTCTACATAGCCCTGTTGGAGGCTGAAGGCCAGGCCATCTTCCTCAAATGCTGTGGCAGTGAATATGGTATAAATGTCCAGAGAATCAGTTGAAATCCCTTTTGTACATGGAGCCTTGGCACATTAGTCAAGGCATTTTCCTTTTCTTATGCATGCTGAAGAGGTAGAACTTTGTAGGTTGCTGCAAGGCTGTATGAAGGTTCATTGCAAGGGATTTCCCCTCTCAGTTTCTATATTCTGCATCTGTGTTTTATTAATTGGAAGACTCTGAAATGCCTCTTAAAAAAAAATTGAGGAATACTAGGAAAATAGTGCAGCTATGGGACCGCAAACAGCTGCTCCCACAACTGCAGCTGCTCTTGAACAGTCATATGCCTCACAGTGCTTGCAGTCAGCAACGCTATCGTGTACATATCCCTTACCATGGAACGTGGGAAGCATGAGGTTTGCAAATGTGCGATCAACTTCAAACCTCAGTGCCCAGCAGAGATTAGTCTCAACAACATCATTTGACAATGTTTGAACCCAATGCAACCAATAAATAGATAAGAGGAAGGCATGCTGCTTCTGTAATGAAAGACTGAAACAGCATGGGCTTAAGCACCTTTGGAGTTTACCTGCAGGGTCATGAAGAGGTTCCTGTGACAAAGTAACGCCAAGAGTCAGGGACCTCTGAGCCCTTTCCACAGGAGTACAGACACGGGGTGGGCAGAAAGGACAGCCTCTCCTACTGAAAATTTCAGATACTGCATCCTTCCAGAGGCAGAGCGCAGTGACCAGGCACAGCAAGGGAGTGGAGAGGCAGGAGGGCAACATCCTCAGACCTCTCCAGAGTCAAAACTTTACCGCCGCATCCCTGAACCCTAATATCTTTCAAAACCTAGGTTCAACCAGGACACACTCTGCCAGTCGCAAAGAAGTGAAGCTCACGTGGGCCACCCGTCCTGTCCTAAAACACACTACATCAATCTTGGAATGTGTTTTACACATTTATATTTTCCGGCACCAAGTGATGTTTGCCCTACATTTCTTCTCTTTCACTGTGAACAGATGCATGTCCTCACTCTACTTATCTCCCTGCGGGAACAGTTTTCTGAACTAGATGCTGCTGCTCAGGTAACACAAGGCCTTTAACTAGCAGGTATCGCAGCAGGGCTCCAGTTAGCTGCCTCTCCGCTGGCCCCAAGCCACTCAGCACAGCTTTCACGCCGACTGTCTTCCCAAGAGAGAGCGTGGTTATCTGCAATGTTTGGTTGTGCAGAAAGTTCAGAGCCTCGGCATAAAACTGGAAGGATAATTTCTTGATGAATTAGCTTCTCAGCAAAATCCTCACATCACAACAGGGAGCCAGGAGTATTTGCTGCCAGTTGCTGAAGAAGAAAGTATGCTCCAGCAGTGTGAGGACAGCTCCTGAACCTCGTGCTCTCCAAGTCACGTAACTTTGTAAAACTGACAGAAGACTCAACTCTCTGTGGAAATGCTGAAAAGATTCATTTTACAGTCTCATTTTCCATTTTTTAGATATTTAAGAAGCCTAGTGATTTCACTGAGAATTTGGGGTAAACAAAATTCATTCTACCAGACTGGAAAATGACAAATGAGAATAGATTAAGCATTGTTTGATACCATCTTCCTTGCTTTTTTTGCCTCACGTACGCAAAATTAAATTTACGCAAAATTAAATTTAAAAGGAATATAAGCACTTCAGTCAAATAAGATAGTGTTTTAGAAAATTCCTCTAATCACATTTGTCTTTAATAATTTAAAAGGGTACTTTCTAGAAGCATAGTATAGTACTTCTCTTTTTTAGAGGTATGCAATTTTGAGGCAAGTCTTCCAGATTTCTTCAAATTACTGAAAATGTTTATTTTCCACTACTTTAATTTGTATCTTGCAGACTTCTTTTCTGCCCATGACCACATCTTCCTCTTTACAGTTAATGGGAGTTTCAGAGGCACAGAGGGTCAGGTTCTTTCTTTACTATTCAATTAGGTAAATAAATCCTTATTAATTACTTGAATGACTCTCTGAAGAATAACAGGTACATAAATCATGTAAGATTTTTCCAGTCTTTTTAACAGCCCCCATCTAGAATACATACCTGCAGTTTTAAAAGAACATTGATTACAGTACCCACCAAGTGCCAAAATAAGTTTTGCCTGCTTTTAATGGTGTAAGAAAAATATTTGTAAAAAAACACCTAAAAATTTAGTCTGGGATTATACGAAAGTAGTAAGAGTTATACCTAACAGTACTGGTTAGGATGAAAGCGAAGCTGCCTGTTAAAAATCTGACCACAGATCGAAGCTTGCAATTTCAGCCTTCATCAATTGCTTTCTTGAGTGACTCATCAAATCAGCATTACCTAAAGAGTCAATACTGAGAAACCAGGTAAACCAATAAATACTCCTTTCAGTCACACAATTGCTACCACTCTTGAGAACACAGTAAAGCATTTTATTGTTTATACTCATTTTCATTTACACATAGGAGGAACAATCAATGCAGTTCTATCACAGCAGGTGGAACATATCCTGAAACTCTAACTTTGACTGCTGAATATGCGTAGACCTGTCTTAAGGCCTGACCAGAAAAAAATAAATAGGGGGGAAGTGGGGAGGAGAGTAATTTCACTAACATCAGTTAATTCATGATTCATGGGTATTTATTTTGCAGGTGATGTAGCTCTTCTGAAAGAGCAAACTGCTTCACTTCTTTACAAAATACACTAAATAATGTAATTACTTAGAGAATTCTAAATTTCGCAGTGGTTCATGCGGTAAGGGTGTGCAACTGACACAAAATGGAAAAGATGGTTACAACATCAAACTGCTACTTCTATTCCCAGCTGGTTTATGGAAAAGGTCATTGAACTTCTTGATTTCTGCTCTTGAGTTATGGAGTAGAAGCAAGAAGTATTTACTTTATAAAGGCAACTATGAGGACAGACTACAGATATGCAGTGCAGTTGAACAGGTCTACAACTCTTGTTTCTACAGCATTTGCATTTGCTATTGTTTTGAAATACAAATATAACTTTTGCACACTGTCACTTCTCACACATGTTCAGCTGAAGGAGTCATTTACAGAATTTACTGTGATGCTCCTGTTTTAAATGCTGCTTTTTTCTCCTCTTGGCCTCATAAGTGAAGTGAGCAACTCTTTCCACTGAAAGAAAGAAATTACAGGTGCGCAGAAGTACAACTATGCTACCAACACAGACAGAGACAACTGTGCTCTTGTGCACACCCCTACAACCGGCCGGAGAACAAATTAAGAAGTTAAGCCTGCAAAATAAATGGAGTTTACTCTCAAACTTTTTCTTCAGTCCGGATGAATTATAGACCTTGATTCGAGGCTGCCCTCTTTTTTTGCAACTGATCTGCGTGACTATTGGAACAGCATCTCTGCCAGAGTCATTACACTGAAATGCAGAGCTGAGCAGTTTGGTGGCAGTATGTATTGACGTTTTTGCAGCATCATGAGTCTGGCAACTGGGCTTGGGGAAGTTTCAAGCAGTGGGTCTTTACAATAGCAACTTGATTCTGCAGACAAAAAGCAAAAGATTGGCAGAATTATTAAAGTATCACAGTAAAGGCAAGTACGTATTCTGCAGAACGTGGCGCTGAGTTTAGCTATTAGCTGGCAGCCACTTTTGTCAGAGGCGCAGAAAGGCACAGCTTTTCCGCGTGTGAAGAGAAACGTAAAGGTGTCGAGCCTTTCACGGCACCTGAAAGGCAGCTTCCCTCGCAGGATGCCTGCTCCCAGCCGGCTCCGCTCCCAGCAGGAGCAGCCGGAGCCGTAAGGAGGCCAGAAAGTAGGCTGAACTTTACAAGCAGCCTTAGCCTGGGGCCTGTCCTACCTTCCTTCCTTTCCAAAAAAAAAAAAAAAAAAAAAAAAACAAAACAAAACACAACCC